ATTCTTATCTACTATCTAGTTAGTAAATAACCCTCCCCCTCCCTCTCCACCCTCGTAACCATCAAAGAAAGTTTTCTTCTGTGTTTAAACCTTTTCTTGAGTTCTTATGATAGTGGTCTTATACAATATTTGTTCTTCTGTGACTGACTAAATTCATTCAGCATAATGACCTCCAGCTTCCTCCATGTTATAAGATGTTTCACAGCTTCTACGTTGTTCTTTATCATTGTGTAGTATTCCATTGTGTGGATGTACCATAATTTGTTTATCCATTCGTCCGTTGATGGACACCTAGGTTGTTTCCATCATTTTGCTATTGTGAACAGTGCTGCAATGAACATGGGTGTGCATATCTATTCGTGTGACGGCTCTTATTTCTCTAGGATATATTCCAAGGAGCAGGATAGCTGGATTGTATGGTACTTCTATTCTAGCTTTTTAAAGAAGTGCCAATCGATTTCCAAAGGGGTTGTACCATTTTACATTCCCACCAACAGTGTATAAGTGTTCCAGTCTCTCCACAACCTCTCCAGCATTTATTATTTTCTGTTTTTTGGATTAATGCTAGCCAAGGCTGTAAATCTTTACGGGAGCAGACTGCCACATCTTTCTCCTGCAGAGTGGCTGGTGGTTTCTAACTGCCAGTCTTTCAGTTAGTAATCCAGCGCTTTAACCACTGCACCACCAGGGCTTCTCCGTCTGTCAGTGGAGGCTTGTGTGTTGCTCTGATGCTGAACAGGTTTCAGCGGAACTTCCAGACTAAGCCTAGGAAGAGAGGCCTGGTGATCTACTTTTGAAAGCAATCAATGAAAATCCTGGGGATCACAATGGTCCGATCCACAACTGATCATGGGGATGGCACAGGACCAGGCAGTGTTTTGTTCAGTTGTACGTGGGGTCACCATGAATCAGGGACCAACTCGACAGCAGCTAAAGACGAAAAGATCTGTGTGTGATCCTCAGAAAGCTTCTTTCTGAATCCAGGAGCCACTAAAAATACCCCCAAAGTCCAAAGTTTTACCTCTGCCGTACATAGCAGAGGTAACAAATGTTCCCTACGCATTATGCAATTTGAAGGTGACCGGCATCATGATTATCTCCGACCTTCCCATCCTCTTCCACAAATGCAGAGGAGAGAAAGGTTCGAACATAGTCCCATGCTCACCTCTGGCGTCTGGACCAAGAGCTGTAGTCTCTGCGGCTTTCAGAGGCAGGGCGGGACACCCTACCCTCTCTCACGGACCCTCCTGCTTGCTGGATTTTCCTATGTGATTCATCATCAGTCACTGCGAAGGAGCCTGACCGAGAGTCCCGGATGCCTGCCTGCCCTTTCGTTTGTCTCGGCTCTACCTGTCTGTTTAGATTAGAAACCCATGAGGCATGTCCACCTCCGCGCTCAGCGTGGCGCCCACCGACTGTAGCTGCTCACTGAACGCGGATGATTGATGACGGTGTGATCTGAGTAGTAACGGGCATTTTGGGCACGAGCGGAAGGAAGCTCCTGAGTGCTGGGCTACGGAGGCTGGTGTCCTGTAGAGGGGGAAAGGACCCCGTGAATGGGCATCTGGAGATGCTCCTCCTTTTAAAAACAAAAAGCAAATTGATCAAACAAACAAGTCTTCATACAAACTGCAGTATCACGACTTTTCAAAACATATATTTTTATTTTAATCAAATTTTATTTTAATAAAATTTTAATAAAATATTTTAATAAAAATATGCAATTTCAACATTCGCATCATGTCTTTTTAACAGCCGGCCTAATTATGCGTCAGCTGCCCAAAATTTTGAGCCAAAGGGAGCAAGACAATGAGGGCACCAAAACAATGGTTGTTTATTGAGAGCTTATGAGGTGTCAGCCCCTTTACATATGTTATCTCAAAACCAAAAAAAAAAAAGAAACTGTTGCTATCAAGTTGATTGTGACTCACAGTGACCTTACAGGACAGAGTAGAACTATCCCATAGGGTTTCCAAGGAGTGACTTGTGGATTTGAGCTGCCCACCTTTTGGTTAGCAGTGGAGCTCTTAACCACTGCACCACCAGGGCTCCATGTTATCTCAAGTTAGATATAATTTCCCTGTTTTGAAGACGAGGAAACAGCTTCTGAGAGGTTGGGTGACTTGCCCATGCCACACAGTAACTACTTATCGGAACCCAGATTTGCACACTGGTCTGCTAACGCCCATGCCCGTGGCCTTTCCACGTGGAGCCTCATTTGTTCTTATCAGCGTCTTCCTCTGGATTCAGTGAAAGAGGTTCCTCCCATGCTGTAGTGGGTTGAATGGTATTCCTCCCCAACCCCCCACCCCAAATAAGTTTGCCTGGGACCATGAATGTGACCTTATTGGAGAAAGGGTCTTTGCAGATACACTTAAGGATTCAAAATCATTCTGGATTAGGGTGGGCCATAAATCCAATCACAAGTGTCTCTATAAGAGAAGAAAAGGGGAGAAAACACGGAGAATGCCATGTGAAGACCAAGGCAGAGATTGCAGTGATGCATCCATTAGCCAAGGATCACTGGCAGCCACCAAAGTAGCCCTGGTGGCGCAGGGGTTAAATGCTTGGCTGCTAACTGAAAGGTTGACAGTTCAAATCTACCAGCAGCTCTGCGGGAGAAAGACCCGGTGATTTGCTCAGGTAAAGACTACAGCCTAGGAATCCCTATGGGGGCAGTTCTGCTCTGTCATATAGGGCGGCTTTGACTGAGTCAGAATGGACTTGATGGCACACAACACCAACCAGAAGCTAGAGAGGCATGGAATGGATTTTCCCTCAGAGTCTCAGAGGGAACCAACCCTGCAGACACCTTGAGTTCAAACTTTTTACCCTAGAACACTGAGAGAGTAAACGTGTTGTTTTCAGCTGCCCAGTTTGTGGTCATTTGTTGAGGCAGCCCTAGGAAACCAGCACACATGCTAACATAGCAGGACAGTTGGTGTGTTCCTCCCGTTCCTTCCTTCCTTCGGTGTTCCTCATGGGTCTTTGGTAAGACTGGGTCATAAGTCAAAGTTATGCCGGCACTTTTTGTTGTTGTCGGGGGCTGTCGATTCCGACTGATAGCAACCCGATAATAGTGATTAAAAACACATCAGCGCATATTAGCAGATTCCTTTGTCCACATGGCGCCTTTGCAGGAGCAGAGCTTATGTTCCTTGGTACTGGAGATCCCTTTGTGGGAGGACAAGTCTCAACTGAACTTGCTGGGGGTGGGCCAGGATGATGGGTTTGAGGATCCCAAGGTGGGGCTATATCCCCAGGGTGGTAGGATCTGCATCTATGCCAGTGACTCTGACATAAGTGAAATGACATATATAAAGTGTCTTGCACGGTGCCAGTGCTTACTGGGTGTTCGGTTAATGTTAGCTTCCTTATTATCTCTGGTTAGTCTTCCTAGCTCAGCCCCGTAGCCCACTGATGGTACAGCCCCCTCTGGGCCTTAGACCATGGTGTTTTGTGCAGGTCTTCTTGGACTCACTGGACATACAGGTGCTTCTGTGAGGCACGCACAGTGAAATCTCCGTTGTGTTTTCAGATAATACAGGCGTTAGCAACTTAAAGGAACCTTGAGACAAGCTCCCTTATAAAAGGAGGAATTCTTTGATAATGCAATTAATGACCTGCTTGATTTTGGGGTAGGTATATTTTTGAATTTTTGCACATTGGGTTTTCTTAAAGCAGGGTGTAACTTGTAATTTGGGTGTAGGAGACTCTGATAGGCAGTTAAGGTGTCTCTGGACCTGCTGGCCCTGGCCCACCATTTCCTTCCCTGCATATGGCATAATAATAGGGAATTGGAGCTCTCTGGTATATCAGAGGCTTAAGTTACATCAGATAACCACAAGGCGTGTCCCCATGAGCAGCCTCTGGAGACAAATGATTGGATAGAATTGGGGCCAAATTCTCAAGGTAACCACAAAGAAAGTAAATAAAAAATTATATACAAAATAAAACCAAACCTAGCACATACACACAAAAAGATCTATATACAAAACAAGTCAGCACTGGAGGGAAAACAAGAACAGAGAAAGAATAAGTCACACAAAAAACTAATAACAAAATGGCAGAAGTTAAATCCTCCTTTATCGATAATTACTGTGAATGTAAATGGATTAACCACGTTGATCAAGAGGCTGAGAGTGGCAGATCGGGTAAAAACAAACAAACAAAAAAGACATATCTATATGGGTTGGCAAAGAATATTGAATATACCACGGACTGACAAAAAAAATGAACAAATCTATCTTGGAAGAAGTATAGCCAGAATGCTCGTTAGAAGCAAGGATGGCAAGACTTCATCTCACAGACTTTGGACATGTTATCAGGAGGGATCAGACCCTGGAGAGGGACATTATGCTTGGTAAAGTAGAGGGTCAGCCAAAAAGAGGAAGACCTTCAACGAGATGGATTGACACAGTGGCTGCAACAATGGGCTCACGCATAACAACAATTGTGAGGATGGCACAGGACCAGGCAATGTTTCATTCTGTTGTACAGAGGGTCGCTATGAGTCAGAACCCACTCGATGGCACCTAACCACAACAACATATGCTGTCTACAAGAGACACACCTTAGGCACAAAGACACAAGTAAGTTGTAGGTGAAATTGCAGAATTTTGGCCAGAAGGGCTGGGCTGCCCCTTTCACAAAGCCCAGATGTCAGCCTTGTGAGCTTGATGCAGTTTCTACATTTTCTCCTTTAGTTTGGGCAGAGTTCAGTTTGGGCTCCTTCCTTCCTGAGTGGTCCACCTCTAAGAAGAAGATGCCATGTCTGGAGAGAGGGAAGGAGTCTCAGCCCAGCCTGGCAGTGGGGATGTGAATGGCAGCTGGGATGACCAAACAGGGACTAGTGTTTGGGCTATTGTGTGTCACACTGACCTGGCCAGCTATGTGGACACAGCCAGGGGCAAGCTCTTCCTGGCCCTCAGATGCCTCATTCCCTCCTGCGATGCTCAGAGAGAAACCATGAGCCCTGAAAAACACCGTATGGTTTTGTGATGTCACCTCTGGAATGTTCTGAGTGTTTGGATGACCAACTTCTGCATCAGACCTATACCTGGCACCTCACACTGGTATGGCTTTTTAACTTGAGATAGAAATCATCATCTTAGACAAGCATGTAGGTATGGCTATCTCTGCTTCAAAGACATCCAGAAAGCTTTTACATCAGCTAAAACACCTGTCTTAATTTCTTTTCAGAGACTGATAAAGCATCTTACCAGATATCATTCTTTCAGACTCAGATTTTCATAATGTCCATGATGGCCCAGAGGGGAATAAAGAAGTAGGAAGTGCTGCGTTTTTCTAGTGCCCAGTTGAGGCCCAGAGGATGGGTTGGGAAGCAGAAATCTTCTTATTTTCTCTTTTCCACAGAACTCCTGGCCAAATTTTACAAGGAGCAGAGATACCAGATCTGAAAACCTAGAAATTCCAATCAATGTGGTTCTACTTCAGGTAGGGATTATGATAGAAGGGCATAGCCTACCCGTGTTAGCCAGACTAACCCCCCTGTTTCCAAACTCACATGATGTCGTGGAGCAAGTGGAGGAGACAGGGCCTCAGATTCTAGTTCCAGGTTGGCTGCTGACCAGCTGTGTGTCTGGGGAGGCAACTTTGCCACTCCGGGACTAGGATTTCTCTTCCCTCACGTGAAGGGGTTGGGCTAGATCGTTCAGTAATACTTTCCAGTTCCAACATGTCAAGCTTCTATGATACTGTGAAATGACCCAACCTTCTCAAAACGAGATCTTTTGACGCTAGCTGTCGTGCAACCAGTCTGGATTTCTGGGAGCAGAATTAGGATTGTGTCTTGGAATCAAAAGCATGTGAGCAAATCCATGAGAAGAAGACCTAGTAGACAGACCGAGGGGTACAAGATTATTTGGAAGTGTCTGGAGAATTAGGCCCAGCTATGTATCAAAGAAGGAGCCCTGGTGGTACAATGGTTAAGTGCTCGGCTGCTAACAGAAAGGTCAGTGGTTCAAATCCACCAGTGGCTCCACAGGAGAAAAGACTTGGTGATCTGCTCCTGTAAAGGTTACAGCCTAGGAAACCCTATGGGGCTGTTCTACTCCATCCTAGAGGGTCGCTGTGAATCAACTGATTCGACAACACACAGCGACAACAACAATGTATCAAAGAGGAGTCCCTGGGTGGTGAAAATGATTAAGCGCGCAGCTGCTTACTGCAAGATTGAAGGTTCAAGTATACCCAGAGGCACCTCGGAAGAAAGCCCTGGCAATCTACTTCCAAAAAATCAGCCATTGGAAACGCCATAGAGCCCACTTCTACTCTGGCACACAGAGAGTCTCCGTGAGTTGGAATCAACTCGATGGCAACTGGTTTTTATGTACCAAAGAGAGAGGGCTTAAGGGGTATGGGCATACTCTTTTGAGGGATTCAGGCAGAGGCCAATGAATTGGTAAAGTCCTGACGGGCCTGGAATGCCCAGATTTCCTCCAGCTGTTCCCTTGGTGGGGTGCTCTTGATTGGATTCCTACTGCTGCTATGTCATAAAGGGACAGACTTGCTTCTCCAGAGTCACTTAAGACCCTCTTTGAAGACTATGGCCGGGCAGCCAGAGGGGCTGAAATGTAGGGTGGAGGAATCAAATGCAGAGGTAACTATCTGAAAACTCTGTCCAGGGATATGTAAGAGGAGGCTCGATTGACACTGGGCGTCCTATATTATTTTCATTTTCTTGAAGTTATCTCTTAAGAATTTTCAGCAGAACATGATTAGAAAGAAAACCTTTACCATTCTTTGGGGTCGATTCCGACTCATGGTGACCCCATGTGTGTCAGAATAGAACTGTGCTCGATAGGGTTTTCAGTGGCTGATTTTTAGGAATTAGATAGCCAGGTCTTTCCTCCAAGGTGCCTCTGGGTGGACTTGAATTGCCAACCTTTTGGTGAGCAGTCGAGCTTGTTAACTGTTTGCAACACCCTGGGACTCCCATTCTTTGTATAAACCGGAAAACCAAGCTCATTGCCATGGTGTTACAGTGTAGAACTGTGGTCCATAGGATTTTGTTGGCTGTTGTCTTTACAGAAGTAGATCTCCAGGCCTTTCTTCTGTGGTGCCACTGGGTGGGTTCAAACCTTTCAGTTAGTAGTTGATTGTAGACGATTTGCACCGCTCAGAGACCACCTCTCCTCTGTGTATGTTGGTGTTGTTTGTATACACGGAAGGTAATTTTAACAATCTAGGCCAGTGTGTTCAGCAGGAGGGAAAAATATAGGACAAGAAAACATTCTGGATATTTGTTTTTGTATTATCCTTATAACTTTCTGGTGGAGCCCCGGTGGCACAGTTGTTAAGGGCTCAGCTGCTAACCAAAAGGTTGGTAATTTGAACCCACCAGCCGCTCCAGGGGAGAAAGATGAAGCAATCTGCTTCTGTAAAGGTCTACAACCTTGGAAACCCTATGGGGCAATCTATTCTGTCCTATAGGGTCGCTGTGAGTCGGAATCTACTCGACGGCAACAGGTCTGGTTTTTTGTGGTTGGTATAACTTCCTGATGAACAGCCACTTCGCTATCCATTTCAGCTCATGAAGCCTAGCCAGAACAAGGTAACTCTCCTGGTCATCAGACAGGATGACTTGTCAAGTGATTTCTACAGCTCTAGGAGCCCTGTGTTAAGTCTGATTCCACTTGACATACACATGTTGTTCATTTAGCCACTACCTCCAGTGGGGCGGGTTGTTCCTTTGGTTCCTTCACAGCTCACATAAATCGATCTTTGCATTTCTAAGACACAGGCAGAGGATTCCAACCTGCGGGTGAGAATAAGATTTGGTCATGGGATGGATAAAGCGATTGGAAGGAGAGATTCTTCTGTCTACACTTAGCTCCATGTTCCCTCCCCAGCTCCCAGAAACAGGCCCAGCAGTGGAGGAGGAGAGAAGGCCAATGTGAGTGGAGAGTGGTTAAGGCCACTCTGACTTGTTCTGGGGCCACTCACTTTCTTTGCTGCATAACCTGGGGGTGCTGCTGGGTTTCGGGGGGCACATAGAATGAGAGGACGCCTGCTGTCTGGGTGCAAGTGCCCTAGATGGATAGATGGTGGCCTCATGGGTACACATGACAAGAGGGCACAGCCCACACTCTGCGTTCAGACACCTACCGGAGATGCTCTAGGTGGGAGCTATGGGGGAGGGGTTTGGCATCTATAACTGTAGATAAACTGAACCTTGGTGGCGTAGTGGTTAAGAGGCTGGCTGCTAACCAAAAGGTTGGCAGTTCAAATCCACCAGCTGCTTCTTGGAAACCCTATGGTGCAGTTCTACTCTGTCCTCTAGGGTCGCTATGAGTCGGAATCCACTCAACAGCACATGACAACAACAACAATCTTTATGGAAGCAGATTGCCAGGCCTTTCTTCTGTGTTGCTGCTGGGTGGGTTCAAAACACCAACCTTTAGATAAGCAGTTGAGGGCAAACTGTTCGAGCCACCCAGGACCTTGATATGCTGGTTAGACCTCCCCAAAGTACCCGAGCATCTGTTCCAGAAGATGAGACAATGCAAGGTTTAGGGGAAAGGACCATCTGGTAAACAAGGGGAGGAGGAAATATTGACTGAACACCGATCATCAGATCATGTACCCAGCATGGGCCATGCAGGTGTGAAGCAGATATTTTATAGGTATGGAAACTGGAAATCCCAGTAACCCCAGTAGTAATGGCAGAGCTGGAGTTTGGGGCTGGGACCCAGGTCAATGCCCATGGGCTGTGTTGTGCCATGAGGTGTTGGGCCAGGCCACGAGGGAAAGGTTAATCCCAAGGTGTAGGAAGTTTCAGTTTATCAACAGCTGTAGATGCCCAAACCCCGTCCCCCTTGGCTGCCACCTAGAGCATCTCCAGAAGGTGTCTTTAAGCCATGAGTCTGCTTCTAGGAGACAGCGCCTCTTCTTCCCACGTCTTAACTGCTCGTTCCTGAGCTCTCTGCGTGTATCTGCACAGGCCGCTTTATTCTAGAAGGGAAACGCAACAGCGGTTCCCAAAGTGCCTCTGGCCTCCCAGCTCCCAATCACACTGGGTATGTAAGCTTCCCCATTACACTGCAAATCTTACAGTTCACTGTTTGTGATCACCCTTAGGTCTTTTCAGGTCTTGTTGATTTTCAGTTTTTCTTCTTCCCATTAAATATTTGTGTTGCTGATCTATTTCCCTCTAGCACATTAACTGGCAAGCCATTGCTTACTTCCTGTCCAGGCTAGCTGACCTCCTGATTCCTTTTGTACAGAATGATTCTGTCCTCACAGGCATCCTCCACGTCGCCTCAGTGGGTGCTATCTGTGAATTGCATGAAGGCACTGTTTATTCCTAGATCTTTGATGAAGGGTCTACACCAGGTCAGAAGGAGCGCTGGTAGGCCCCGCCAGTGGCCCCTTCGCCCCTGGGATTGCCTTTCTTTTCCCCTTTGTCTGGGCTTGGTCTTCAGAAGCTATGGAATCCTGCTGACAGGACCCATATCTCAGCCAGTTTGAATCACTGCTCAGAGGAAGGTTTCCGGAGATTCTATGTTAAATATTTAGCTAAAACTACCAGATGTGACATCTTTATCCTTTTTGCTGCTAATATTTTAATTTTATCGAAATCAATCCCATTTACCTTGGAATTATCCTTTTGCTTGTTAGAATTTATTAAAACAAACATTGACTTTATCGTAATACTTGAGAGCTGAGTTAAACATACGATAACGAGCTAGAGTCAACCTTGTAATCTTGTCTGGAAGCTGGTAGCATGTTTGGCTTTTCCTGGAACTCTCTGCTTCGTGTGTCTTACAAGCACCTCAGATGGCTGAATGTTCTCTGGTCTTCTTGTTGTTGTTAGCAGCTGTCTAGTTGGCCCCTGACTCATGGTGACCCCCATGCACAACAGAGCAACCTTGCCCAGTCCTACGCCATCCCCATGATGGGTTGAGGATCGGACCATTGTGATCCATGAGGTTTCATTGGCATAGTTTTGGGAGTGAATTGCCAGGCCTCTCTTCCTAGTCTTACTCTGGAAGCTCCACTGAAACCTGTTCAGCATCACAGCAACATACAAGCCTCCAGCTAGGCGGTAACTGCACTTGAGGTACATTGGCCGGGAAACAAACCTGAGTCTCCCACATGGAAGGTGAGAAATCTACCCCTGCACCACCAGTGCAACCATCAATAATTCTGGCAAAGTAGTTGTTTAAAAACCTCGGTCAGTAGGATTGGACTTTCCTGGGGACATTTGGATATCTCTCTGGGCTATGGCAGCCATGCTTGTCTAGGAGTGGAGAGAAGAATTCAGTACCTGTCAGCTAAGCCTGGCCAGTCACTGTCCAGCCCCATCCACAAGTTCTTTAGAGAGGAGGCCACCAACCCCAGAAAACTGCACTCCAAAAGGTCCCACCCAGACAGATCTGTTCCTTAAAAACCCTTTTGCACCAGGAAGTGATGTTCATCTTATCACCTCCCCT